AGTGCCTTCCACTTCCAGCCTCTAGTCACCACCACTGATTCTGTTTCCATTAAGTTCAACTTCTTTACAGTCCCCAGATAAATGAGATCGTGCAGTATTTACTTTTTATGCTTGGCTAACTTCACTTAATAGAATGTCCACCATGTTGTCCATACTGTCAAAAATAACAGGATCTCTCTCTTTTTAAAGGCTGAGTATGATTCCATTATGTTGATAGATATACTACATTTTTATAATCCATTCATCCTTTGGATGATTACTTGGATAGTTGTATATCTTAGCTATTATGAAAAATACTACAATGGACATGATGGTGAAGCTAGTTCTTCAACATTCTGACTTCAGTTCCTTTGGATATGTATCTGCAAGATGGATTGCTGGATCATACCGTAGTTTTAATTTTAATTTTTTTTGCCATCTTCCAATAATGGTTGAAGTAATTTGCATTTCCACCAATAGCATACTAGGGTTTCCTTTTCTCACATCCTCATCCACACTTGTTACTTTTCATCCTTTTGAGAAAGCTGTTCTAGTAGGTGTGAAGTGGTGTCTCACTGTGACTTTAATTTGCATTTCCCTGATGATCTGTTGTTGAGCATTTTTTCATATGCTTGCTGGCCATTTGTGTGTTTTCTTTTGAGAAATATCTGTTCAGGTCCTTTGCCCATTTTTAAATCAGATTTGTTTGTTTGTTTTAGTTCCCCATGTAGCTTAGATATTAACCCTTTATTGCATATGTGGCTTATAAATACATTCCCCTGCTCTGTAGTTCATCTCTTCACTCTGATGATGGTTTCCTTTGCTGTGCAGCATTTCTGTTTGATGTAATTTCATCTGTTTTCACTTCTGTTGCCCATGCTTTTGGGATCATATGCAAAAAATGATTGATCAGACCAATGTCATGGAGCTTTTCTTCTTTTTATTTCAGTAATTTTACAGTTTCCCAGCTTACCTATAATCCTTTAATCCATTTTGAGTTGACTTTTTGTACATAGTGTGAGGGAATGGCCAGTGTCACTTCTACATGTGGACAGCCAGTTTCCTCAGCGTCATTTATTGGAGAGATTGTCCTCTTTTCTCCTGCACATGTTCTTGGCACCTCTGTTGAAAATTAATTCCCTGTAAATGTGGGAGTTTCCTTCGGGGCTCTCTATTCTGTTTCACTGGCCCATATGGCAAGTTTTATGCTGGAACTGTGTTGATTTGATTTTTATAGGTTTAGAGTGGATTTGGAAACCTCTGAAAACTCTAAATCACTGATGGAAAAATTTGAAAAAGACACAAATAAATCAAAAGGTACCCAGTGTTTAATGTCTGAAAAAATAGTATTGTTAATTGTCCGTATTATCCCAAACACATTGTAAATTCAGTGCGATTTCTATCAGAATTTCATGCATCTTTTTCTTCACAGAAATAGAAAAAACGAACCTAAAATTTGTAGGGAACCACAAAAGACTCTCAATAGCCAAAGAAATCTTAAGCAAAACAAAAGAAAGATGGAGGAATCATACAACCCGATTTTAACATGTAGTCATTATTTAACTGTAATAATAAGTGCTTGCTCTCTGAAGTATATCTGGTGATGGATGCTTTTATGAAAACAACAAATTAAAGCATATGTAAATGCTGCCTTTAATAAGTTTGAATTATTATATATTGGCTTGGCTTAGAATAGTACATAATTTGAGTCTTTTTTTAAAAAAACTAAATTTCAACCCATTTAAAATACAATTCCACTTTTAGCTCTTAGAGCATTGCCTGTTTTTAGTAAATGATTAATATATGCATGCGTGGAAGTTTCCTTGAATTTACATCAGCAGTCATACAATCATCTCTCAGTTTCAAAAGCCTGTTTGGGCCAGGAGCTCCTGTGTTCTTGGGCAACACTGTGACTGAATGTGAATTCATGTCATGATTCACAGAATCCCCACAGGCCCGTGGTGATACGATTGAAACCGGGCCAATTGATGTTTTAATCCTTTCTGTCCTTCAGGAGGAAATGGAATTAAAACCCAACTTTTTGTTATTTAGCATTTGTTGCACTGAGCTAAGATTATAGATAGAATGTAGAATTAGATTCTTGCTAAATGGATTTATAATCTAAATTAGATATGCAGGCTAGTGACCTTGGGAAATAAACCACAGAAGTGACAACTTGGGGAGTAGCTCAAAAACAAACCAAAAAGAGTCTAAGCAGACCTGTACCAAAGTACTCTGTTGTTAGCACTTGCTGGCAATGGACCAAGGCACAGAAAGATAAGGTCGGTTTTCTATTCTAGCTCTGTCTTGAACTTTGTAATTTCAAGCACAGCCCCTCTCTTCACTCTGCCTTAGTTTCCTTTCCTTCCCATTGGTTCTTATCTGGCAGAGAAGTTAGAGCAAATACGTGAAATAACCAATATGAAGCACTCCAAGCTCACAAAATTGTTTCCGCAACAAAATGAAACAGTAATAGGAATACACTGTATGAATTTCATCTAATCATTTATGTTAGAAACCAAGTGAGTTAGGGAATAAAATTTCACAATTTAGAAGTACTCCTTTCAAAATAATTTGAAGACGGATGTGCAGGTGATCTGGCTGTGACACTTGTCACCCCATTGATTGCTAGGGTTGATTCTGCTGATCTGGCTGGCAAGGTAGATGTCCTCCCTCAATGTTCCATGTGCTTCCACCCTTGAAGCTGCACCTTCAGTCGAAGACGACGACCACCCCCAATAGAGGAGGACCGTTCCTCTGTCAAGGGTATACAAGTAGCTGAGCTCCCCTGCTAGAACCTCCAAACAAGCTCTCAAAATAAATTGAAGAAATAAATAACAATACATTTAAAAATAAATCGGTGTATAAAAACTGGATTTATATACAAGTTTTGGATAATATATCTTTCTCTAGGCAAAGGTAGATTTAATTAATACCCAATATAGCTGGGAGTGGTGGTGCATGCCTGGAATCCCAGAACTTGGGAGGCTGAGGCAGGAGGATTACTGCAAGTTTGAGGCCAACCTGGGCTACAAAGTGAGTTCAAAGTCAGCCTGCAGTACATAGCAAGACCCTGTCTCCAAAAGACCAAAAAAAATACCAACACAGACAGCAATTCTTTAGAGTACGTAAGGCATTAAATCAATGGTATGCAGAGATATGTGACTTTTGAACAATTGACATTAGTAAATTATCATTAAATTATAATCCTGTAAGTGGTAATTAATAAAAAGTCGCATAGCCCTTGTATACTTTTTAGGTACCATATACAGTAGTAAGTATACTTTCTGATACAGAAATGGGAAGACCTTCATGTCCTAGGTTCAGGGAAAAAAACCACCTGTGCCCTCTTCTATTAAAGTGAATGCTGAATGAAGCGACATTTTGGGAGCCCCTAAGTTGAACACCCCAAGAGCAAATAGTAATTGCAATATAATAATTAGTATAGTGATATAGATAATTTCAGAATACATAAAATTAGTAAAAATGTCTAATCTGTATTGAAACAAAGCACTCCATGTAACACAGGAATTGGATTCATACTGGGGCTGAGAGTTATCTTGAGGACAGAGCTGATGACAGGAAATTGAGGATTTTCCCAGGACAATTGAAAGATATGTCGTGTATGGTGTGACCACATTGCATGAGACACGACTGATACACCACATTCTGAAAAGGTGCGGGGTGAAGCCATGCTTCCCAATTCAGTGTCAGAATATCCTTACCCAGATAATACAGTACATGTCCAATATTGAGAACAGCATGTGAGCCAATGTTAAAAAGAGATAGGATAGAAAGATGAGCAGGCTGCTTCCTCCTCCCACTTCATACAGCCTTAGCACATCTAAGAAAGTCATGCTGAAGGCTGGGGAGGCAGCTGCAGTTTCTGCCCTTTATCCCCAGAGTTCCTCCAGGTCTACTTCTTTCCTTACATCCCTTGCTCCTAATTCCCTTCATTTCTTGGCCCCTTTTCCTTAGTTTGACTCTGTATCTGTCGTGCTCTGAATTTTGTTGACCTGGTTTTGGGTAGCCACTCTGCTTATCACCTTAGCTCTTCCACGGTGTGGTGATTGATTACGTGGTCATTCACCCATGAGCTCATGTACAGTATTTCTTGGGTAATATCACTTACTTGCATTCCATACTGTAGCTTGGTGGGAGCCACACTAATGTGGTCCTGCCCTGAACAAACACTGACTGTGGAAGGAGAACTGACTGAAAATTTCAGGAACAAGCTTTGAAGAAGACTGAGCAAAATCTGAGCACTTATCTCAGATCCCTGAGGACAGTTGGCCATTCCTCTACTAATCATTTGCTACCTGTGACAAAGTCTGCCTGTTACAAGTCTAGGTACATAGAAGGTGCTCAGGAAATATTTGATGCAAGAAAGGATCACTGGATAAATACATTACTATATGCATGGTCTATAAGATCTAAATCTGGTTACACTAATCTAAGGAATGATTTTGATGGTATACATGGAATTACATTAATTATTCTACATTTGATGAATATTTCCATTCATGTTTCCTTCCAAGAAAAAGATGAAGAAGCAACTCAGCACATCTATTGACCATCACTTTTAGAATACTTATGGTTTAAAAGCAGGCTTTGAATGTAGTTACTTGGCAAGGATAAACCTGACTTCTGCTGTGAAAGTTGTAAGATATTCTAAACCCATGCACATTAGTATATACCTTACAAAGGGTAGTTGATAGAAATACAGTAGGCCTAAATCTCCTTCTCATTCTGGTATTTATCCACAAATGTACTTATACACTTAACCCAAAACATATCCAAAATAAAGAAAAGGACAGGGGTAACATTCATAACCCCCATTTCCTGGATGACAAGCTACCTACCTGCTTTAGAAAGCCTAAATAAGAATGCTTACAGAAATAACTGCTAGACACACCAGGGCTGGCTAGTAAAGTCAAGTCCCTGCCGTTCCGCAAGGGGAATCGCCCTCAGCACTGTGCTTCTCTGCTCATCAGCTGTATCGGGGATTTTTGTTTCTTCAGATTGAAAGGCTGGATGTGGAGAGCTTGTTTAGCAACATTGAATCTGTGCATGAGATATCAGCCAAGCTGCTGTCCTTGTTGGAAGAGGCCACAACCAATGTGGAACCGGCCATGCAAGTCATAGGTATGTTTATTCTCTTCTCAAGTTCGGTAGTACAACAGAAAACAATATTTTAATAACCTCCTCATGCTTGGTTTTATCTTTCTGACTCACAAAGTGTCCAAGGAGATGTATAAATGGTAAACCCATCTTCAGGCTCATTGTGATTGAACAAACTATATATATATTTTTTATTATAAAAATAAAAGGAGCAAAACATTAACAGACAGATAACCTTTTACAAAGTAGCAAAAGAACAGTACAAACAATACAGAGTTACAAACAAAGTGGTAGGAAAATAACAATGCTTGTATTACATATTGATATCTTCAAAGTGGTTTCTCATGAAAACAAATAGAGACATGCAATATTAATCAATCAAGGACTCACTAACAGTTTGTTTCAGCAAAGAAATAGAAGACAGTAGATCAAATATGTTAACTATCCTGTATATACATACATACAAAATTTCTCCTTTCTCTTCTCTTTTCCCACATCCCAGTTACCCTTTACCCTTGAGCGTTTTCCTATCATTTTACAATGTCTATCATACCTCCCAGTTTTTATTAACTCTTTCAGGTTTTACACTAGTGAGACAATTCAGTGCTTGCACATGCAGGTCTGATTTATTTCACTTATGAGTATGGTCTCTACTTGTGACCGTTTACCTATAAAGGCCTCGAGTTTATCTTTCTATAAAGAAAGTCATAAAGTATAAAGCTGAGTAATATTCCATTATATAAAAGTACCACAATTTTCTTATCCAATCTTCGGTGGATGGATATTTGGGTTGCTTCCACAATTTTGCAATTACAAATTGTGCTGCTATGAACATAGGTGCACAAATGTCATTGTGATATGATGTTTTTAGATCCTCTGGGAAAATATCCAGCAGGGGAATAGCTGGGTTGAATGGGACCTCTAGACTTAGTTTTCTGAGGAATCTC